ATATTGTCTTACTAATGGTTGAGGATCCATGCACCAACTTTCCCGTGAGCCAGATCCAAAGGATCTATGACCATCATCATAACTTCTTCATACTCATCCAATTTATCTTGAATTTTTTGTATGGTGTCTATGTTTTGAGAAAGTTCTTCGATTTCTTTTTTTATATTATTTTTCTTAATTTGCATCTCATAGAAAATACTAGTTTGTATGGAAGGCATTGATTTGATGGTATCCAGGAGTTTTTCTATTGATATAATTGATTTATTCCAATCATTTACAATATTGGTCTCTTCCTCTGCATCCCAAGTTTTAGGATTAAAACGAAATGCGCTATTATCCATATAAAATACTGCCTAGAAAAGAGAAAAAAATTATAATTCATTTTATGATTGCACAAGTAGAGTAATTTAACGAATTCATACCTTTGGCTTAGCAAAAAAATTATCTGTGTTTTAAAGCAAAAGAAAGTAAAACAGTGATTATTATATTCTCATTTATATAATATATCAGTATGAGAATCATAAATTGATGTCAGATTTTCTAGGTGCTTATATCTCTATAATTAAGTCTTACAGCATGTAAATATTATTAGTTATAAAGCAAAGATATTGTGTTAACAAATAGATATATGAATGATGATATTGGAGTTTCAAATTAAAATTAGAGAATCATATTTTATTTTACCATTTGTAATTCAACATAGTATAAGTGCTATTGAAAAATCCTACCTATTTTCAAAATGTGCTAATTATTTGTTGTTTGATAATTTGGTTAAGCAAATTAATAATATGGGAGTTAAGCACGCTTGTACACATCATTTACAAGGAATTGTGTCACAAATGGATAAACAAATCAAGAGCTTACTTACTATTTAAAAATTCCATTTACTATATTTATTGTGTCTGTCACTATACAATAAACTTCTGTTGCAACCAGTGTTCGAAATTTCAGATCCAAATATTGTTCTCATGAGTACAGTGCAATAATAGTAGGTGTTCTCAAGCTACTATTTTGTTTAAAAAAAAAGGCAATAACTAACAATATATAAAGTATAATAGAAAATATATATTATAGTTGTATTTAGTATTAAAATAAATAATGAAAAATTATAAATAAAAAGAATACGAAAGATATTATAAATTAATAATATTAGATAAATATTTCTTAATTTACCTTACATTAGTACAAATACGATAGTTATATTCATTAATTTCTGACTTGACATGATAATATTAGTTAATGTTCTTAAAAAATTATATGGGGTGAGTCAGTAGAAACGCACCATATTTTTTCTAAGTAAATTTTTTTGAAACTTTAAACAAGAATAATTTAACAACAACTTAATTAAATTTAATGAAAATTTTTTTAAACCAATTCAAAAAACTTGTAAAATTTATTTAAAAAAATTTTTACTAAATTTGGTTAAGTTTTTGCTGATTTATTTTTGTTTGAAGATTCAAAAAAATTTCATTAAAAAAAACATGGTGCGTTTCTACTGGCTCACCCCCATATACTGTCACAAATTTATAATAATGTTCTCTTGAGAATTCGAGAACATTAATTTCGAATACTGGATACAACTAGCTGGCTTGGTTAATTTAACTACTTGTTTCACTGGAATTATAAACTAGAAAATTGGGGTTTCAGAACTAAGGCTCAGGTTTTTGATTTCGAATTAAATTTGTGACTTATTTTCAAAACAAGTTAACTCTGAAACCTCATTGGATTTCTATATTTCAAATAGGGTTTGTAAATAAAATTCAAACAGTAGTAATCTAAAGGATAAGTACAATATATACAATTTTGTCATGAATTCTACTTTAATTTTGATGATAAATTATGTAGTCATAATTAAATACAAAAATTATCTAAAATAGATTATTTGTTCGAATTACGTATGTTATGTACTTTTTTCAGACATAGTATATATAAAGATTACTATAGTATAGCATAAGAGAATTAGAATTAGTAATATTTCTAATTAAAACCTATTATCAAAACTCTTATACGTATTACAAATAAAACCATATGTAATCACTCAGAATTGTCGTGCTGCGGCTGTAATCTAAAACCTTTGAACAACCGTCCATGTAAGGTTTTGAACTAGTTCCCGCACCAGCGTGTGATACATAATTACTATATCAAGAGCAAATCTAAATTTAAAATTCTACGGTTCTTTCCATATGAAACGTGTTGTCCAAATAAATGCTATAAATGGAAACTAGATAAATAAGTGGATTATCGTTTTATTTTATATATATCTAATTATGTGCGTATAATGAAAAATTTTCTAAATCAAGCTTTTCATTTGTGCCGTTAAATTCAAGTTACAAATTAGAGAAAAATCGGTTATGTTAGATAATATCCGGTTTCCAATTTTTTTTATCTATACAAGATAAATATTTTTGCAGTGATCTTGATACTCATGAATGAAAACTTGGGTTTGAATAACAGAAAAGTATCCAGTTCAGCTACTCCTGAAATAATAACACCTTACATAATATCAGCTGATAAGGGAAAAATGACTGATATTAATGTTAATAACGAAGAAAACTTGCAATATACTAATTCAGAACCAAATTACTCTAATAAAGAAGAAAATAATAATGACCATTTACTTACTGGTTATAGACCCTTTAGAAATAATGTAAATAGCGAAGACAATTTGTCAGATACTAATTCAAAAACAAATTACTCTTATGAAGAAGAATATTATGATGGTCATAGATCCTTTGGATCTGGCTCACGGGAAAGTTGGTGCATGGATCCTCAACCATTAGTAAGACAATAT